AGAAAATTTAGTTTTTAATGACTCGTAATCTGCCTCAAAGCATTACCCAAACTGTGAAGGCAAAAACACTAGGTGATTCTTCCTATCTACTTAAGCCTTGTTGGACAAAATTACTCAGTATCTGTGTTGGTGGGAGGCAACATGTACCCCATGCGGAATAGTCTAGGCATGTGCAAGCTGGCCTAAACACCTCTGTCATAAAAAAACACTTGTTTAGTATTGTCTGATTGAACCTTAATATAGCAGAACGGATAATGAGAATTCATATAATTACTTTTAACTAATTTGGGATTGATTGGTATCTCTTTTTTCGTCCTCTATGTTATTGATATATTCGACATAACAAATGCTTGTGACTTTATAGATCTGTAATGCAGTTCTTGCTGCACGAATTATGAATGCTACACTGGTGTTACCTGAGTTGGATGCAAATTCCTTCTGGCACGATGATAGGTACTTAGTTCCCCGAGTTCCCTAATTCTTATACCATTTAAAACATGTATCACGATTGACATTGTTATTTGAGAATTTGCTTAAATCTCTTTACTATAATGATGTTGGTTCTAAGTATCCTCAACAACATGCAAGGTATTATTCTAAGTCTGTCATGAAAGGAGTATACAGGCTGGCTGGCCGATGATTAAAAAAAGTAGAAAACAGTTTATCTAATACTCTTCAGATGGTTTGTACCTTAATGGCACGTAGGAAAACCATTTGAGTGTGATATATGTGCGCTCTCTATTTATTTATTTATTTATTTTTATTCTTGAAATTATAACCATTTCAAGAATTTATAAACTGAAGTAAAGGGAGACTTTATGCGTATAGAAGTATACTGGTCATGCACCCAGCAGTTGGTGGATTTTCTCTGATAGAGACAACCTTTACAAATTAAAGAAAATTGAGAAATTAAAGACAGTTTGAAGTTCAGCCACTCATCTTGAATCATGGGCATGAAGACACTTTCTTTTCTTACTTGATATTTTAAAATTTACTTTTTATGTAGCTGATGTTATTACTGAGTGATTTTGCTATTCCTTGTGAGATCCTGCTCTCCAAAAAGTTAACTAGGAAGTAGGACTAGACTAAGTAAATCCTACGTTTCATCATGGTGTTTACAATGAATAGACTGTTGCACCGGTTTCTTTATCACTAGAGGAGGAAGCTTCCCTTGAGCATGATATTGATTGATTTTAGACAGTCACTCAAAATATTTGTTGGAGTTAGTTTGTTACCATAAACTTAGTCCCAAGCTTGCTCTTGATTCATTTATAATCTCACAAACTTTTTAGTAGTTTGAGTTCTTACCATTAACTAAGGCATAACGTGCAACTTTATTTCTATTAATCCTCAGTGGATTTCAAGGTATCTACGATGTTGAACATTTTATCAAGACATTGAAGTATGACGTAAGAATAGTGGAAAGCATTCCTGAAACCCGAAAAAATGGAAAGGTCAAGAAGATAAAAGCAAAACAGGTATACATTGCTCCAGCAAAGTTTGATCATGTTCTTCTTAAGGCTCTGATGGATTTTAAGAAAGCATTTTTTTTTCAGATTCGACCTCCTAGAGATGCTCCTATCAGTTGGTATACAACAGAGGCTCTAAAAACAATGAAGGAACATGGTGCTATTTATCTTACTCCTTTTTCACATAGACTGGCAGAAGAAATTGATTATCCTGAGTACCAGCGGCTGAGATGTAGAGTAAACTATCATGCGCTTCGATTTAAGCCTCACATTGTGGAGTTAAGCCAATCAATAGTCAATAAACTTCGTTCGCAAGGCCACTTTATGACAATACATCTTCGTTTTGAGATGGATATGCTAGCATTTGCTGGGTAAGTTACTGATTGTTGATTGTTGTGTGCACCTTAGTAGATTAAAGCTCAAGTGGTGCTTTAGTCCCCCATCTTCTGTCCTTTCCTGAGGTGGCCCAAAGGAAAAAACACAACAATGTAATAGAAAAAGAGATTGAAAGAGAGGAAGAACAGATTCTTCAAATCTCTCTCTTCCTCACTTTGTTTTTTTTTTCCTGTTCCTTTTTTTGCCGGGAAAGTTACGAGCTAACTACAGAAATCATTGCTCTATTCCATTGGGTATCCTTAGCCCTTGAAGTACTTCTAGTTGGTGCTAGTTAGTATAGACCACAAGTTTCTTTTTTTGACATTGAGTTAGAGATCTATTTAATCTTGTCTCAATTTCCCCAGGTGCTTTGACATATTTTCTCCTGAGGAGCAAAAGATTTTGAAGAAGTATAGACAGGAGAATTTTGCAGAAAAGAGACTTGTTTACGATGAAAGAAGGGCGATTGGGAAATGTCCACTAACTCCAGAAGAGGTAATCTTATAGATACTTGTACACAATGTGTGGATATTCTTCAAATTTATAATTTTTATCCCTGCTATAAGTTACTTGATTTAAAGCCATCTTAGAATGGTTAGATATGTATCATTTGGATGAGAGTAGAGGTGAAAGATGCTTAGTATAGCTCCAATGTTTTTACGATATCAATGGTCTGTATCCCATTCAACTCTGTTCTTTTCCCAGAGTAACTACGAATTTAAGGAAGTGTATCTATGTAAAGGTGAACTTTAGAAGTCATTAAAGAGATTATCCACTGGAAGTTGATATATCTTTTAATATAACCAGCCAAGAATCCCTTTTGGGGATACAACAGGAAGGTGCACAAATACGGCGCCATGAGTGCATAATTCCTCGTAGTTGTTCTTTATGATGATATTTTAATAATCCGAGTTTGAAATATCATATCAAGGACCTGAATCAGTTTCAGAATCGCACATCATTAAATTGAGAATTAGCTCAAATACTAACCTGACTCTGTAAAAATCAAAGTATTTCATCATCCTCTTGTTTAATGAAGCTCAATTTTAACTTGATTTATTTATATTTGCGCCAGTGTTGACAGTAGAAATTCTTTCAAACAATAGGTAATTTGATTCATTCTTTATGAGTTGTTTAAGTATATACATTAATACTTGTATTGTTAACTGGAAAATTGCTGTTCAGGTAATTGATATTTCCCCTTCTAATCTGGCAGGTGGGTCTTATTTTACGTGCAATGGGTTTTGACAACTCTACTAGGATATACCTTGCTGCAGGTGAGCTCTTTGGTGGTGAGCGATTCATGAAACCTTTCCGTTCCATGTTCCCCCGCTTGGAGAACCATAGTACAGTGGACACCACAGGTGAGCTGGGGAAGAACACTATGGGCTTGTTAGGTTCAGCTGTGGATTATATGGTTTGTCTTCTCTCTGATATTTTCATGCCAACATATGATGGACCAAGCAATTTCGCAAACAATCTCCTTGGTCATCGGTTATACTACGGTTTTCGCACGACAATCCGACCTGATAGGAAAGCACTGGCTCCTATCTTTATTGATCGTGAGAAGGGTCATACAGCTGGTTTTGATGAAGCAGTTAGGCGTGCCATGTTAAAAACAAACTTCGGTGGACCTCATAAGCGGATCTCACCTGAATCATTTTATACTAATTCTTGGCCAGAATGCTTTTGTAAAAAATCAGCTGTAAATCCTGCTGATAAATGTCCACCACATGATGTTGTTGAAATCTTAAATAGTCAAATGGAGAGTGAAGGAATCAGTGACTTTGAGGCAAGTGGATCAAATTTGACCTCAGCTGTGGATAAATAGATGTTCTGCGTGAAGTTTCTTGGTAATATTTATGGATCTTGCAATGACGCGACACCATGAGGTCAAATGGAAGAAATGCGATGATTTTCCTTATCTACAAGTTGGTTTTACAGGTATCACTTATCTCAGATCATTCTATCTAGCTATTGTGATGGTTTTAGTTGTGCATTTTTAGTGACTACCTTATAAGTGATAACAGTTAATGTAGCTGCCAATGGATAAAAGCAGCGTAGGAGGTTAGGTTACTGGGAAAAAATGATAACAATTTATGGAGAATATCCTCGATTGGTGTTTGAGTTAATTTTTCAATCAACGAGAATCCAGGGAGGTTTCTTATGTAGGACTAAGGGACGTGGCACCTTTCTTTCAGCAATATCAGAGTCATTCGATGATTGTAATGTCGATAATCTGAGCATTTTATTTTGCTCACTTTTTTCATTTTGTATATTTTTGAGTCTGAGGATGTTGTTTACTTCGTCAGCTGAGAACCATTGTTATATCTGATTCGGTATCTTCTCATACGAAAATAATGCATTCTTTCCTACATTTCATCAGGTTGTTAACGGGAGTTCTGGTTTCTGGCGTTCACAATTAATACATTAGGCTTGTTATTTCAAGTTCCACTACTGAGATTAAGGGTGTGTTTGGTATGGAGGAAAAACAATTTCTATAAGTGAAGTTCTACACTGTTTGTGTCCACCCCACCCCACCCCCATAGTATATGTCTAAATTATATATACATAAATAATCTTGGGACAATATTTTTTGCTTGCTTCCCTAATACCAAAAAATAAGTTAAAAAGTCAATTTCATACCAAATACGAGAGCTACTATAGTGCTTGGATGGATGGTTCAAAATGCGTTGTACTTGCACTTTCTCTAACAACTAACTTGCTTTTTCTCTACGTGGAAATGAGGAATCGAAGGTTAAAATGACATTTTCTGATGCATTGTTAAACATCTTGCTCTCTGCTATGCCAAGCATTCTTGTGACTCATGTTTCTTCATGTAACGTGTTCCATCTAATAGATTAATAGATTGTGAACTTTCATATTCCAACAATATACTCGGTGTAGTTTCACAGGTGGGGTGGGGTTTGAGAGGGTGAGTGTATGCAAACCTTACCCTTACCTCATGGAAGTGTAGAGACTATTTCCGAAAGAATGAAATCATCACTATCATCTTTGTGAACTGAACATATAAGATTCAAGCCAAACAGTTCCTAACTTCTCCATAAACTCAACGAAAATCTCTAGCACAACGCATGCATATACATTCATCTTGAAGCTGAAAGCAGATTGCGGATGGGGCAGAGAGATGGGAAGATGTAATGTACTGATTACCTATATCAGATATTGACATTCATAAATATTACAGCACATTTAATTTCACGGTGGAGAAATACAAAGAAAAGATGTTTTCTCCCTGAATAGAAGTTTTAACCAGCTGATTTAACGCGTAGTTTATTGGCGACATAGAGAAGGTGGCTGATGTTAGAAGATGGATAATTTTGCAGTAGCTTCAAATTAGAAGTGAAATCACCAGCAAGTAAACGCCTCCGGACAATAATCAACATAGCACAGCAGATTCTGAGCAGTGTTTCCTGCAAGTTGATAATAATTTTTGTTATTTATTACATTATCGGAAATAACCTCCCTACCCTGGCAAGGTAGAGGGAAGGTTTGCATACACTCTATCCTCCTCCGACCCCACATGTGGGATTATACGGGGTATGTTGTTGTATTACAGTAACAAACAATACGCTTCTTCACCAGATCACAAGTATCTCATAGCCCAACAGATTAATTTCCCTTCCACACCAATCCACAAGGAAAGGATGAAAAGGAACACATGAATATTAAGTTTTTGTTGTACAAATCTACAATTAACCAGCCCCCAAGGCTTAGCTTGAGTGGCAAAAGGTGGAGGATTTGTGGCTTAGGTCGCAGGTTCATGCCCCACACCACGCAAAGCGAAGTCCGGTATTTAAGTGGAGAAGGGTAGAGGGGCGGGCCCATTATCCACTGAGTTTAGAAGGCTGTGATTAGTCCAAAGGGCGGGTCATAGACGAATTTCTCAGTTATAAAAAAATATATATAAAAAATCTACATTTAACAATACCCTCAGGGTTTAGTTCAAGTGGCAAAGGTTGACGGATTTGTGACTTAGATCACAGGTTCGAGCTTTGTGTCACACGAACTAAGCCTGGTATTGAAGTGGAGAGGGGTAGAGAGGTAGGCCTATTATTCAAGTATAAAAGGTTTCGGTTGGTCCTATTTTCAAGGTCATAAGAAAGATCTACACTTAGCAATGGCACAAGAGTTCAAAAATCTCACTCTGAAACTGGACCACCGACCACCTAGCTTCAAGAAATTCCAAAACAACACGCTGCAATGAAACTATTACTCAAGTGGAAACCAAAGATTACTTCACATACATTTGATCCCTCTCCAGTTTTGAGCCTGTGGAATATGCCCTCCCAATTTGGGTATTTCTACTTTCGCCTCTTCCTGAAGGACATTACAGTGAAATCTCTAATGCAGATCTTTAAACGGATAAAACTATGAGCTCATGCAAGCAATATCTTAAAAGTGATATAGCTCTTAAAAGTGTATTTGAGGAGTAAGGAGACAGATGAATGACAACCCCCATACAAAAAGAAAATTCAGAGGATCGGATATTGGCAATTATTGAGGTGCCTTTCGGAGAATTAACCAGCTCATTGGGGTGGGCAGAAACCAGTATGGACAGCAACATTAGAGGAATTTGACTCTCTAAAACCTTTGAAGCACCTATAAGACTTAAATTGCTCTTTGTGAAGAATTGCATTTGAGTTTCTTTTTGTACACATCCTTAATGTGGAATTTCCCCCTAAAAGTCAGTGAAATTACTTATCCAAAGAAAAAGAAAGGAGTAACAAGATGGACTTAATAAAGGATGAAACATCAACTTTTAACTCCATGACGTCTAACCTGAGGTCCTTCAGGATCACTTAGGAGAGTGTCCCATATAAGAAGACTGTCTGGAAAATTGAACTCTTGCGTCAGAAGGAGAGTTATCCACCTAAATGCATAAAACTGTGGATTCACCTGTTAACATCCAACAACGAACACATAAAAGATCAGTGTTAAACTCAAAATATCAGAAAAGCAAGTCAAGGTAATATCTCACACCTAAGGGAAAAATAAGAAAACGTGCTGAATTTATTGTACCAACTAAGCACATCCATCAGTAAAACCAACAATTCCGATGTAAGAAAGCACAAGGACAATCACAAACATATAGGATGTCTTATTACTTTAAATTCATGTAATCCAGGCAAGTAATTCTTCAACACAGGAAGCAGGACATGTATAAATTCTCTAGAGATGTGTTTCCAATACAATATATTCTCTAAATATACATTGTACCAGCTGCTAATATTACATGAAAGGCAAAGAACGAAGAAATCCAGACATATCCTACTAAAAGGAAGGTGTGGATGACTAAAGGATCTTGAATCAAGAATATAGTTCAGTTTTGGGACAGGCTACATGCGAATCTGAATCAATTCTCAATTGGGTCACTTGGCTGCCCAGAATATATAAGGTGCCAGACAATGAAAAACAGTTTTCATTCCAAGGGAAACAATTCACAAATGAACAAATCCAATATGTTTCATGGAAAACTGTTAGGCTTAAAACTGACTTAAACCAGGTATGAGCAAGGTCACCTGCACTCTATGTTATGTTGATCCTGTATTTGCCTTGATCGTATACATGTCGGACGGGTGTATAAGGGTGTAGGACACAGTGCTGATACTTCAAAATGCACTAAAAATGGCAAAAACACTTGAGATACCCATACCAGATATGTACCTATAAGTGGATCTGTGTAACATAGCTTGCATCAAAAAGTAAGGTTCTGGATAAGATTAAGCCTCCAGGTTGACAAGCACATTAACGCTGTATTTTTTTTTCTTTAAAAAACTACTACATTAATATTATAAAACATGCCATCAGTAATGTAAATATGCAAATAACAGAATTAGCAAGCAGAGAGGATGCGTAAATTAGATGTTCTCAAGATTGGACAAAAATGTTGAATAGAGTGCATTAGTAATGCTTGCATTAGTAGTGCTTGCATCAGTAATGCTTGTATTAGTTATGCTTGTATTATTTCTTATACATTGTTTGGTTTCATATATTAAAATTAACAAGCCTTGCATAATTTTTATTAAAAAATGTTTGTTTACAAAAATGCCCTCCACACTTTCTAGTTTTGTATCCACATAACAAGGTTCTTTTGCTTAAACACCGCAATAAAGTGGCCAAGAGAGGAATCTCTCTATGCAACATATGTTCCTTATGTGGTAAGGCTAATGAGACAGTGAGACATCTCTTCTTACATTGCAACTTTACTGAGCAGCTGTGGCAAATTTTCCTTAATCTCAGAGGCATATCTTGGGTGTATGCCTAGCAAGATTGATGAGACTCTATTCAGTTGGGAGATGGCTGGAGTTGGGGCAACAAGCAGAGAAAGATGGAGGATGATCCCTGCTAGTATTTGGTGGACTATATGGAGGGAGAGAAACGATAGATGTTTTGAGAATAGGAACAACAACCTGCAGGAAGTAAAGCTTAAGTGTATTTTGTTGTTTTGCTTTTGGTGTACAAATGTCTACTCCAATGAAACTGAGTCAATCAATAAAGTTCTTTGCTAAAATTTCACTAGCTCTTTTTTTACTTCCCAAAATAAAATTAAATATTTGTTAGTATTTTGAATTCTAAACTTATTTTTTTATCAAATAAGGGATGAGATATTAATTAAGAACTTGGAGAATTTTTGTGTTTAGCTCCAAGGTCATAAGAAAAAACATACTGATCTCGAGATGAAAGAATGTATGATCAATGACGCCTAGTGATTAGGGGGTTAATATTACAAAAAATGTAAAGGAATACGAAGTCGACTGCTGATAATTCAGAGTAATTGGGTTCAATAATGGTTAGGTAACAACTGAGAGAAAAAAGGAGTAAAATATTTTAAAAGGGCTTTTGAGGACAGTTTTGTCATAGCTAATCTAATGCAAGGGTTAAATCCTTTGAATTACTAATACCTAGAAATCCATGGTAATAGTAATACACACTACAATACACAATAGAGTGTATAACTAATGCTTGCATTAGTTATATATAACATGAAAAAGTATACCAAACAAGGTACTATTAGTACACAGAGCTAATGCATGCATTAATTAATTTTGCTAGTACACTATCAAACAACCCCTAACAGCCAATAATGCACTAAACAAGGAATCTTACATTAGTTGTCACTTCAAGATGCCGCCATAGCTCTTCATCATGTTCTTTCAAAAGTTGAGATAGCCTTGTAATTGTGGAACGAATACCAACAACACTATTATCAAGTTGCTGACAAAAATTATCACGAAATCCACTCAACAACTCCACAAAGCAGAAGAAAGTATCTGCTTCTGCCATTGCCTGTATAATTTGCAGATAGAAATGATAAATAGACTGATTGATGAGGACCTTTGAACCTTCAGTCTAGAAACAGCTGAGAAAATAATTCAGTCTAGAAAAAAAATATAGCATACAAAGGTTTTGCAAACCGAGTAGCACTCTTCACCAAATTATCAATATACAGAACCACAACTATCATTGTCACAGAGAACCAGAGCCACAAGGGAAAACCATAAGACAAAAGAGAAAGATAAAATATAAAGAACTGTGTTTAAAATAATTCATTGGTCAAAGATTAGCAGTTGCAAGTATCAAAGAATTCAGCTGGCCCCACATTCTTTAGCAAAACTTGGTTACCACCTATCATGTTCTAGGAGTGACTACCCACAACCACAACACGTCACTAAGAGAACAAAGCATCACTTAGACACTTACTGGATCTTCCTCATTGGGATCATTCCTGAATACATAGAAAAGTGGCGCTAAGATCTCATTCATGCCTTGCACATATCTAATACCAGGATTCAGTTTGGCAAATATAATGAGTATAATCCTCAAAGCATCCTGGAAACAAAAGATAGACTTGGTCAATCCACTGCGGTTTGTATTATAAATCCAAAAAGACTAGCTCTTGCCTGGTTAGATTTTGCAGACGGTGTGTCTCCTGAGAAAAAGTGCAGGTCTGGATGGGTGCGCTTTACATCCCGATCAATCTGTTCAATAATCTCTGTGTCCTACAAGAAAATAGTATATGACAAATTATCAACAGTAATAAGTTGTGACATACTCCTGTCAACTTGACAAATTTTGCAGTTTCTTGTTGTTTTTTTCCATTTTGAAGGAATTAAAATGTTAATTGTGTACCAAAGACAGTGATCACAGAATTGATATGTGTCCAGTGTAATGTAAGTATGGTTGAGGAAAGAAATCAAACAAATAAGCTAATATATCACTAATACTGACAACAGCTTCAAAGCGAATATAAATTTAAAAAGCTGCTTTCAGAAAAATCTTGATCCATTTGTTCTCTCTCCGGGTCTATCACGGTCTCAATATAACAGTGCAGTGTTCAACAGGGGTACCATACTTATAGGGGTCGTTTGGTTGGAGGTATTAGGAAAAATAATCTCAACATGAAGTTCTGTATGAAATAATGCAATGTTTGGTTGGACAGATTTGGAACGCACAACTAATGTAGTGTTTGGTCAGCCGTATAGGAAAAAAAAAAGTCCCCTCATAAGGAATGCAATGCTTGGTTGGCAGTACTAAATATATGAATTCAGCTATTTGGAAAATTTTATGTATTATTTTATGTGGGAATTGGGATAGAATGTGTCATAAGAACATGAGTATTAGTATTTAGTAATACAACGATAAAAGTACTTGTAGATGAAATGCAAATAAAACGATAGAAGTATTTGTAGATGAAATGCGCTTAAAGTAGGTAATCCCTACATAACATCCATGTATTAAATATGCATTGCATAACAATCTCAACACTATAATCCACCGTATAGTCCCTTCATTAATACTCGCTATATAAATAAATCATGCATTATAATCCTTGCAGAACAAGCATAAGAATCAAATGGCCCCTTTAAGGTAAATTTACAGAAAACAGAATGTATGAAATAGATCGTGACATTCAGTTTGAGGACTTGTCTTGAAGACATGTATTCTTATGCTCCACAATGGTGCTCAAACAGAAGAACCCCAACATAATCTTAGAGGTAGATACTGGGGGAAAAGATCATTTGAAAAAAGGTGGTACCTGGAAGAACTGATTCCAAATGCTACTTTTTCCAAGACTCAAAGGATGCTCTTCCTGAGTTACTTTTGATCTTGAGAGTACACCTTTGCCTTCAATGTCTGTTCCTGTTCCATCATTCTCAAGACTTGCAGACTTCTCCAACCTCCTCGCAATCTCTGACTGCCTAGCCATAACAACATTCAGGAAACTTTTGTACTTGAAAACAAATGATGCTTCCAGAAAAACAAAACTAACATAGTATACATGAATTATTGATTCGATGAGAACACTTTTTGTTCTTTGATAGGTATTAATTCTATGAGGGCATTTTTTACAATTTTTTTACACATTAACCTTCCAATAATACCAAGGGGACTAAATAACATGAGCAATAAGCAATCTGCGCAAGAATATGTCTATAATGTTCTGCGCAGAAAAGATAAGGAAAACTACAAAATTAGTTATTGCAAAAAAGTCTGTGTTTCCATAACAATATTTTTTATAGTAGTCAACCATATTTAATTACTTGTAAACAGCTCTACGCAGGGGATTTAAGGAATCATATTTTTAACTCTCTACTTTGAGTGATCACATTTCAACCCTCCCAAATATCAACTATAAATACCGTTCAATCCTAACTTCATTTTTCACCATTGAAGCTCTCAATTCTCTCTTCTCTTTCTTGACAATCTACCAAAACTCTCAATTATCAATTATGATATTATTTATTAGTACTTGACGTAAGCAAAATTAAGATTCAAACCTTTCAGTTCAAGATCACGATCAAATTTCAATTTACAGTTTTCTTAATTTATGTTTCACTCTGGCATTTTGGTACACTAGTTCCACCAGCTCTCAGTATTTTAGATTCAATATTTATCTGATTAGCTCTACATTATTAAATTTTTTATTTTATTTTCACAATGTCTTCTGCTCATTTTTTTTTATATTTTGGTAATCTAAAAGTAACGGTAAAGCTCCAACGGGCAGTTCTTGTAATCAATGGTTACAACCCCCTCCACCTATGAAAGATGATTTTTTTTGTTTTGCCAGAAGCATGAGAAGTACTGACAGACAAAGGAGGGGTAAACATGATTATAAAGGTCTTTATGGTATTTTAGTTATTATAAGTTGTAAGATGTCATGCATTAGTAAAAAAAACAGAACTTACAGGGTTCATAAGGAGCTCCTCTTTAAATTGCTTGTACTGAGGCCTCTTCTTAGCCAGTTCTGTTGGCCATAACGCTTTCTCAGTTGGCAAATACCCCAACAGTAGCTGCACAAAGACATGCACTCAAGATGATCCATATACTTGAAAGGTATCCAAGATGAGACCTTTTACTATCCTCAAATTTCTAGAAAAAGAATGTTCTCTAACTTTAACCAAAACAAATGCCAGAAATTAATGTTTTATAATATTAAGTTGTGTGACACATTTTGTACCTTCCATACTATAGCACGAATGCCAGGTCCGTCTGGTATCCCTTGTGATGCTAGCCTCCGGACTTCCCCCAAATTAATAATCTTCCTTGACAACTACATCATATAAAAACGAAACAGTAGATTAGGAAAAAAGAAGAACAAACCCCAATTGGCCTTCGTCCTCCAATATCAGGTCTTTTCAACCCTCAAGCAGCATAATAATTTTATTGCCATTGTATTTATTTAAAAGACAAAAGAGACTAAAAAACGTCATTGGCTAACTAAAGGTTTCTCATATACATGGTGGAGGATACGACCAAGTCATGCACATCCCACAAGATTTAACTTATATGCACTAACAATGTAAAGATGTTTTACATTATCCATGTAGTTTAACATATTATAACATGGTACAACAAACAAGTGGGGTTTGGGGAGGGTAGAGTGTATGCAGACCTTATCTTACCATACCCTGGGAGGTAGAGAGGTTGTTTCTAATAGATCCTCGGCTCAAGGAAACATATTATAACAGGGTACTTAACCTTATTTCTCAGATTACAAATCAGAATTGGTTACTTGGAATTGTCTTTTCAGCTATGTCTAGAGTAAAAATGCTCAGTCTAGTATAAAAGTTGAAAGGTTGTTTGGTTGGACAGATTAAGAAAAAGAATCCCATATCAAAATTTGGTATTGTTTGTCCTCTGTTTGGTGGCCATTTTTTATTTCTGGTTTAACTAATACAGTTATACATCAATTCAGATAATATATTATTTTTTAAAATCTTTTTTGTATTAATAATTCAAGGGAGGGAAGGGGAATGGGGAAGGGAAGTTTGCCACCAACCGCTGCAGCACCATCTACAAAAACCGTTCTGTTTTAATGCATTTACCCTGAGGACCTGGAATTTTGATGCATACATTTTAATCATAAAAGGTCTCTGCATCGACAGCATTACGAACTAGCCGTGGAAGTGTATACTACTAACTCTAGTACATGATGTAACTCCAGGCAGGGGATAGAACACTTACCAACATCAGATATCATATTACACTTCATATTATGTACATAGGATAGCTAATACAATATTAAACTATACGGTAATTAATATCCCTATAACAATCGTACATTATAATCCATGATACAACCAGTATATGAATCAAATGACCTCTTAACAAGTGTATAAATTAAAGCTCTATCCCAACAACAACAACAAATCCAGTGTAGTCCCACAAGTAAGTAAGGTCTGCAGAGGGTATCTACGCAGCCGTACCCCTATCTCGTGAAGGTAGAGGGACTGCTTCCAAAGAAACCTTGGCTCAGGTAAAGCATATTAGGAAAACATTACCAAAAAGGAAATACAGTAGTAGTGAAGAAGTCATGCTGAACATAATGAAGACAAGAACACTAGCAATATAACTTAAGCAAAAGGTAATAAAAAACTTTATCAGAAAAGGTAATAAATACAGCAGCTGATAAAAATGGAATAATAAGACAGTAGAAGAGTAATAAATTGCTATAATAATACTACTGATATAGAAAACTAAACAATGTTCGAGTACCTACTAACATTCTACCCTAATTCTCTCGACCTCCATATACTCCTATTAAGGAATGTACTCAAAAGAGAGAAGATAGTGACCTCTTGAGAAAGCTGAGCCTGGCGAGAAATATCCTCAGTTGAAGAAATACCAGATGTCGCAGTACTACTAGCTGAGCTCCCATCTTCACCATCACTACGGCAATTACTACTACTACTATTTAAAGGACCAATAATTTCCACCTTAGGGCTCGGAGGCGGCACAGGACGAGGTTCAGCTCTAATTACAGCAGGAGGCGGCATTGGAACTGGCATATTTACCGAAGACTCAGCACTGACCGATGATTTTACAGCTGAATTCGTTGAGCGATTCATATCCTCACTGTCAATTGAAGTCTTCGCAGGAGTTAACGATTGTTGTGGCGGCGGCGAACGAGAAGACCAGAGAGAATTGTTGAGCCAATCGGGAACGTGATTCTTCGCCATTCTCGATTTTTTCAGAGCGAAATTGAAATGAAGAATCGGAAAGTAGTGAAAGAGGAATTGAATTTATACTCCGTGGTGAAGCAGTTGGAAAATTGGGGGCGCCATTGATGATGATCAGCGGGTTTTTGAGTAGAGAGAGACGAGTGAGAGATTGGGAAATTGGGAACATATCACGTTAGAATCTCGTGATGTTAACTTTCCTATTTTCTCCTAAGGGAATTGTATTTGTATATATGTAACTAGTATATATATATATATATATAATATCAATGATTATATTTGTATATGTATAATTAGCTAGCGTTTGATCATAGATTTCCAAATATTCTTGGCAAATATTATTTGGGTGAAATTTCACCTTGTGTTTGACCATAGTATTTGGGAAGCATATTTCACTTTTTTAGAAAAATATGATTTATACCCATAAGTTTTAAAAACTATCAAAACTAACTATAAATTTGTATTACAAGTCAATTGGATCTTCGTTGCAACAAATAACAAGTAGTGTCCATGACACTGAAGCAATGTGGTAGTTTGGAGTGAGTGAAACAAGCATCATTCCATACATCGTAAAGTAGACAAAGGACATGACTTTGTTACCCTGAGCCGATTGTTTATCATTTTCATCAATAACCATATCATCACTTTCATATTCACCGAATATTTCATCACTATTTTGGTGCTCACGTAAAAAATTATGTAATACAAAGTAAACAATTACTATAGAGGGTGTTTTTGTAAAAGATAAAAGTTTGGTGTAAAATTTCAATTTATAAAAGATCCCAAATAATGAGATTTGGCCCAAATATTAGAAAAAACTAGTATTTGGGAATTTGAGATATTTGCCAAAAATATTTGCCAAATAATGGCAAATTGTATGGACAAACACTATTTGCCAAATTTCCCCCCAAATATTACTTGAAAAATCTATGGCCAAACGGGTAGTGTATATATATATATATCAATGAATATAATAGTATTAACGAAATATAATTTGTATCAATGAATAAATTGTATACAATCATATCAATTTGTATTTGTTTATGTATAATTTGTATATGTATAAGAGAGGAGAGAGGAGAGAGGTGAGAGAGAGAATGAGAGGAGAGACGTGCACGTAATTATAGATAAAATTAAGTCGCGAGTGTTAATTAATGGAAACTATAGCTATGTTAGCTAATTAACTAGTATATATTTCCTTATCCACGTAATTTCCCTCAAATCCTTAGTAGAGAGCCAAGTGCGCTTTCTCCCAAATGGGCCCTATTAGGTGATGTGAATTTGGAATGGACCAATAACAATGTGGGTATCAACATCGGATTTTCCAAAAAAAGTAAAAATTAGGGAAATGACATAGTATAAGAAAGAAATTACTTCCTTTCCCTACTCTTTCATTAATTACCAAAAATCCCTTTTTTAGTGTTTTTCGGATACATAATATAGCAGTGTGGATACTTAATATAGCAGCGCGGATACTTTAATTAATAACGGGCGGATACTTAAATTATTAAGTTGTTAGCAGCACGGATACTTAATTAACAGGCGGATGCATAATATAGCAGTGCGGATACTTTAATTAATAACGGGCGGATACTTAAATTATTAAGTTGTTAGCAGCACGGATACTTAATTAACGGGCGGATGCATAATATAGCAGCGCGGATACTTTAATTAATAACGGGCGGATACTTAAACTAATAAAGTATCCGGTTAAGTTGAATTGGGGGAAAATAAGGGATTTTTGTATTTTAATGAAAGAGTAGGGAAATATTGAAAATAGGTAAATAAGTGTTGTGCATTTAAGTAATTTTTCCAAAAAAAAAACATGTGAGAAGCTTTTCTCTAAATAGTGCCCTAGGCGATGTGAATATGAAATAGTCAAACAACAATGTGGATATTAGACACTCAGGGAAAAATTAAAAAGAAAAACATAACACGTGAGAGTTGGAGTGTTCGGTAGGAAGGATTTTTTTAAATACTAAGTAAATATATTTTTACATAATTTAGATAATTACTATGAAAATTGAAAGTGAGTTATAAGGATGTCTGAGTGGTGGGGGATACGAGGGATAAAGAAGATGTGTTGTAGAATGAAAGACACAATAAACGTAAAATATTGCGCGACACTTATTTTTCTTAATCTCACTAAAGACGCTATTTTTCAAGTATGTGTCTCATAGAAGCGGAAAGCAAAATGTAATTACTGGATCAACACATAAGTAAACCTTCATGAAATGGCATTAACAATTTATAAACTTGTATGGATCAAACAATTAATCAGATTAAACTTTTGAGGCTCTATCGAATCTAGTGTATCATAAGAAAATCAAATATTTAATAATCACTTGAACATTCTAAAGGAATGTTTTGAAATCTATTGGTATCTTTGCAATAATCATAAATCATATTTTTGCTTCTAATATCTTTATATGATTTTTCTTGACTATGAGTTAATTTCTTAGAATTCCACCTTAACTTTGTTGAATTGCAATTCAAACGATGATTATTAAAAGGGCAACCTTCAATGTTGAAGCCTTGGAAATGAGCTATGAATGGAGAATTTGACCAATTAATTTTTTCACTTCCATTTTCTGTTGCCCAACTTTCTCCATTCCATATTGTGGCTTCTGATTGCATTGGTTGTGTAGGGTATCCAATTCCTCTATGGGATTTGTTCTTGTAAACCCTAATTGGTAGTTCATCTACAAAAAAACTTTAAATAAACAAATCAATTAGACAATAAATGTAGTATTTAATAGCAAATGTAAAGACTGTATCGTCATTGAGAGGTACATGAGGATGGTTGGGATTCATTCACTTCTTAAGAATGTCTCGGTTTCCTCAGTCTTAAGAATGAAAGACTTTTTGCTATAGAAGAAATTTACGTCTTACTCTACTCCTAAACAAACACAATATCAAGGAACGAAAAGATCTGAATAACCAAACCGAGCGATACGATAAGCACAAAATGCTAAGAAATGCGGAAATTATATTACTTTCCTTAATTAGCCTACTCGATGAGGATCCAAATTAACCAGACTAGTAAGCTTTGGATACTGAATGATTAAATTGAAAGAACCAGTTGATTGATCTACCTTTATACGAAACACTATGAAATAACTTGCTACATCTAGATTAATCTATTTTTTTTAGTTTTGGAAAGGAACATTACTATGTAGATATTATCAAAGCGTCAATTAGAGGTTTGAAGTTCGAGTAAGAGTGTTTTACTTCTAAAATTGGACTTTTTGGCACAAATTTGAATCAATAAAATTACAAAGTGAATATCAAATACTGGATCGATACAGAATAAAAAGATTAACTTACACAATGTGATGTGAATTCCATAGGATTGAGTACTCATGAAAAGTTGTTGTTGGATCAAACCAAAGTTGAATTCTTTCTTCTCTATCACCAACACCATTTGCAAATACATTTGTTTGCAATATGTATGGTTTCCCTTTTCTATTGCCTAAAAACTCGAAATCCAATTCATCATGGTGGCTTGTATGTGAATGTAACTGCCAAAAGATTAAAATAATTATTTTTTTAAAAAAAAGATAAGCAATACAACTTATAAAATAAAATTGAGGAACTTAAAATTAATTAAGAATTTCCACACTATTATGAAATTTTAGTGTTTTGAATGTAATGAAATGTTTAATAACTACTACATCCAAGCAAAATCAGCTATATGAACCTTCATTGTTCACTCTATCCAAGTTTGTTGCCTTCAATCCAACATTTTATTTTATTTTAAGAAGAGTCTATCTAGTACTAGAAGGAAGAGGAGTTTTGGAGCTACTGTAAAGTTATCTCATTAGGTTACGAGATCGAGGCGTGGAAGTAGCCACAACATTTGTATTAGGTTGAGTCTTTGTCTATATCACATCCCTTGGAATATGACCCTTTCTCGAACCCTATGCGCACGTTAAATGCTCTTTTGCATCGAACTGCCCCTTTCAAGAGATAAATATTTACAAAAGTTATGGTAAAAAATTAAATTATTTTAACTCTTAAGAAGTGAAAAATTGAATGTATATATGTGTTCTTACATAAAAGGTTGTCACTACTCCAGCTGAGTCTTTGTTTGGTAGCTTTATTCTCATTTTGAATGATCCAGAGCCATAACTTTGTTTGGATTGAATTCCACATCCTGCAGATTATTATTTATTTTTTAAAGAAAAAATCCTTTGGTATTTAGGATTCTAAGAAGACAAAAACTTAAAATCGAAAAACAAGGAGAAAGGAAGAAAAGTCAAATTATCCTCGTACTATTTGAAATTGAGTAACTTTGCCATCCGTTAAACTTTTAGTTTTATCTTTACCCTATCGTAAAGAGAACTCTCTCATTTTTTCCTTTTACCCCTCCTAGAGCTTCAAGTTGATGGTCATTTTAAATCATAGTAAAATATCGACATGAAGAATTTAGACACGTGGAATCTAATCATTTCACTCTAGAGCTACGTTAATAGCAAGGGCAGATACAAGATAAACTGTGAACAACAAGAGAATGAATAGACCAAAAACTCTAAGCTAAGGCACAATTGAACAATTTCTCATAGTAAAGGGACAAAAATTGACACATCACTCTATTTAAATGACATAATGTATAGACAAACGTCTTAATCTGGGTTCGACTGACAACTAAACACTTCAACTTTGAAGATGCATATATAGACTTCTTAACTTATTTTCAATGTGTCAGTTGAACACTCCATCAAACCAAATGATCATCTAGACACCTCCAAGAATTATGTGTCATATCAACGCCCGATGTCCACGCACGAGACATAGAAAAGACAAGTTGAGGTGTCTAGATGTGCATTTTCAAAATTGAAGTGTAAAAGCACTGAAAGAAAGAAGAAAACTACAAAGGTAAGATCACCAGAAAATTTATCAAGAGATAGCTGAATTTCTTCTCCATTTTTCAATAACTTCACATTGTTGTTCCCCCAAGAAATGTTGTATTTTTTATCAAATGGTAAAGCTAGACCTTCAAAAACTCTAGTTATTAATATAAGAGCACTTAGACTTATTAGATGGAAACCCATTCAGTAATTTAACAAAATTGCACTGAGACTTGTTTCTTGAAGTTGGGTTGAATTAATAGATGGAGAGTTTTAAAGTAACCTAAATTGAGTAATTAGATCAATAAATATTCTTTAAGTGAAGTAACTGAAATTTTATAGCTATGATAATAAAGTTTTCATGAAAGTAACTGAACTTTACTCACATGTAACAATAAATTTACTGAATTTTACCTACTATACAAAAAAAAACAAGTATTTTTTGTCATTAAGGAAACTGAAATTTACCTTTATAACCAGGGGAAGAACCAGAATGGTGCAAGGGGCTTTGGTGAAAAATTGTATCGTATATCTAAGGTTAATTTTATATATATATAGAGAGAGAGAGTAGATGTTGAATTCAGTGGCTTCTTCCTGTGTTTACTTCTTTATAGTTTGAACCCCTTTAACGAAAATTCTGTTTCCACCTCTGTTTTATAACAAAAAAATTATTAAACTGTACTCACTATAGTAACTTTACTGTTATAAGTAGCAAAAAGACTTTACTATTATAAGAACAACAACATACCAAGTGTAATATCACAAGTGGCGTTTAGAGAGGTATAATGTAGATATGTAGATCTTTGCCCTATTTTTATGGGGTAGAAAAACGATTTTTGATAGACCCTCGGCTCAAAAGAGAAAAAAGTTTTCAAAGCAGGATTGCAATTTACATGAAAAGTGTTCCTTGATGAATATAACTGATCTAAATTTGTAATTTAATTTGCTTACTTCAGCCTTCAGGTCTGAAGGGAGTCTTGGAGTAACGGTAAAGTTATCTCTGTGTGACCTATAAGTCACTAGTTTGAGCCATGGGATGCTTTGTCCACCAAGCTTCCATTTCTGCCTTCAACCTGAACTTTAGCTCTCATTTTCTTCTCAAGCTTGGCGCGCTCAACAACTTCCTGGATATGCCGATCATGCTCCCTGAGCACTCGATCCACATCCATTGGGTTCGATTCAACAGGTAACCGAGCATAAAAATCACTCTTCTTTCCCTTGAAATCACGATCATTTTGATTTGATGCTGTAGTCAATAAACCATACTGCTGTTTTTTACCCTTGATATCATGGCCATTAACTCTCTTCGAGGCAGCAGTTGACGGAACATGATTTTGCTTCTTCTTTCCCTTTATAAAACTCCAGAAGTTGTGTTCCTGATCCTCCTTGCCCTTATCTCTATTTGCTCCTTCAGAGGAATTTGCAGATTCGGGCATTTTGTATCTTCGTCTTTCATCTATTGTTACCCAGGGTGTAACCCCTAAAGCATCATTGGTTAAATCATGTCGCTCATCCATCCAGTTAATTTCGTCGAAAATGGTTGAACACACCTTAGAATTCTTCCATTTTACATCCAATCCTTTAGTTGGAGGGTATTCAGGCAAACTAAACGAATCGGTAGCAAATGGTTCAACTTTGAAAAAACTGTGATCCATTTCGTCGAAAATGGTTGAACACACCTTAGAATTCTTCCATTTTACATCCAATCCTTTAGTTGGAGGGTATTTAGGCAAACTAAACGAATCGGTAGCAAATGGTTCAACTTTGAAAAAACTGTGATCCATAGCAATAGCAGCAGTTCCTCTGCTCTGTGGTTCTATAGAAAGCAGAATTTGCATAAGTTCCAGAGCAGCAACAGGAAAATCATGAAATGTTTCTTCGATTTTCGCGTTGTAAGGTACTTTCTGTTTCAAAATTGCTGCATTAGACGAATTGTATTTTCGCCAATATTCATCAGAAGGAGATCCACATAGCTTGAATATCTTATGCAACTGATCAATTTCGTTATTACCTTGCAAAATTCCTTTGCCATTAAACAATTCTCCGAGTACACAACCAATACTCCATAGATCCACTTCGATTCCATAAAAACACGATCCAATTAACAGTTCTGGTGCTCGATACCAGAGAGTCCCAATGCAGCTAGTCAAAGGGACATTAGGCTTTGATTTGGAAAGTGTAGACAGGCCAAAGTCTGCAATTTTCAGGATACCGCGATTATCAAGTAATAGATTTGAAGTGGTTATGTCTCGATGAAGGATACCTCGACTATGAACATGATTAATTCCATTTAGCAGTTGTTTCATGTAACATTTGATCTGTGATTCGGAGAAAAATGCACCGGGGATTGATAGAAGTCCTTTGAGATCATGTTCCATATACTCTAAAATAAGATATAATAAACCAAATATAATACCTGATGTGATGATCAACCCTTCCAATTTGATAACATTTTCGTGATCCAGCCTTCGTAAAATGTTGATTTCCTTCATCATTAATTCTACATTGTCAAACTTCAATCGTTTCAGAGCAACTATTTTGTTGTGTTCGAGGTCACGAGCCTTGTAAACAGTACTGTAAGCTCCGTAACCAATCTTATCAAGCATGTGGAACGATTCGAGTTTTCTAGGAAGCCATCCATGGATAGCTTCAGTGCCCGTTGCAACAAGCCAAGCAGGCCATCCTGCTGCAATCTGTTCACCAGCCATTGCATTCGGGATACTTCTGCTGATTCTAGGTACATTTTGTTTCTCATGTGTTGATCCAATTGCTATAGAATCGTTCGATTTCACATAGTAAATTGACATAACTTAGAAGTTTAAATTCTGGACCCGACTCTGTTTTGTTTCATCAAAGATATCATCAGCTCATGAAGTTGAGAAAATCCTTTGGTTGATGAAGAAGTTCTATAATCAACATCATGTTTCACAAATTGAAAATAAAACTCTAGCTACGGATTCGATACAACTCAGTTGCTTTGATTTTCATTTAATATGTATAAATTAAGTTGTTCAGAAGATAGTAAATTACCTTTTCTAGAATCCAGAGTCGATAAACTCAAAGTTTTGGATGCTGCCACAAAAGGAAAACCATATATCCTATATCAGTATCTTATAGCATCGGTTTTATACATCATTTTTGCTATTTTGATGATTTCAACGCACTAAAAGAAAACTTATTTTCTTAAAAAATTAAAATGTAAGAGAGAGAGAGAGAGAGCATAGACTAGGCAAACAAAAACTTTAGAAATAAAATTCATGAAGGATTTTACTAATATTTGTTGACTAACCGATAATTACTTAGACAGGCACTAAACGTATAAATAATTATTTTGAAAAAAAAAAACATTTTGTTATTTGATATATTATATATAGTCATAATCAAGAAAAGTGTACAAACATTTATAAATTCTAAGTTGACATTAACACGATCAATGATCTATAATTCATGATATATAATTTTCCCTTTTTGTTACAAAAAATAAGTCGAAAATTTTAAGTTTAGGAATTCTAAATTCTAAATAAGCAGTTTACTGCAATCTAAATAAACTATGTATTCATATTAAGTGGATTTCTTATAACAAATACATGATTTTTGGCAAGAGTTATTCGTTCTACCGAACTTAGCTAGAAGTGTAGCTCCGCCCCTTGCTATCGTTTATTTTCATCCTATTTACTAATTAAATTTTCATAAAAAATAAAATAAATCATATTCTCTTTCTTAAAAAAGTACATTCTAAAATGAGTAACTTCCTTAATCAATTACACATCAAAATTTGAAAATAAAAAATGGGTGTTGATACTGGAGATTACTCACTCTCCCCACCCTTTACTTCTGTGTGTGTATGCCCAAAAATGATCATAAATTAAGAAATTTATATCAAGTTTCTTCATAGAATAAAATGTATGCCTCAGAGCGAAGAACATCCTTTAATGAAACCTCACGAACATGAGTGTCACTTGCATAATACCACACAAAATCTTCCGCGTTCTCGTCTTTCCCTGTGATCTTGGGACCTCCTCTAACATATGCAACATAATGACCTCCCCTCATCGTCCCCGAATGTACTACTACACCAATAAGCTGGTATTTGTATGTATCCTTCTGCAGACACCTGCAAAGGTGATCATCAAGTAATCATCAGGCTATTTCAGCAGAGATATTCCATTTTGCAGAAACTTAATAGAAAAAAGGACATATTGCATGTGCATTGAACATATGGTTATTTTATCGACATATCTTTGAAATCACTAACATACTATGGAGGGCATAATAACTTGTTCCTAACCAAACGACCCTAACTCTCTAGAATGCATCTCCACAGTACAAGCTTTTAGTTGACACCCTCGCTATCATAGACAAATAGCATACACCCTGGACCTCATCTTGTATTGTGTATTAAAAAGATTTTTAAAAAAAGTTTCTAAGGGCATTTGCAGTTACTGAAACAACTTGCTGCTGAGGAATATCAAGTACAAGTGGATTATATGAGAGAAAAAGCTCGGGAGCCATAGCTGTATTTTCTCTCTTTTTGTGTTAAAACATGTCGGAAACAAGAACATGAATTCAATCATTTTTTTCATAAAAAGCAAGGGTAGTAAGTTATGTTACACGGATACACACGCACAAAGTATTACTTCCTCCATCCCATTTTATTTGATGTTACTCGAGTGAGCATAAAGTCCAAGAAAGGAACACTTTTGAAACTTGTGGTCTAAAACAAGTCATAGATACTTATGTGGCTATTAATCATCTCATTAAGGTAAAATGGGAAGTTTAAAGTTAGATTATTTCTAAAAAGGATGTTTTCATTCTACACTTGCATACTGTCTGTGAACAAAATGTAAAAGGTACATAGTTTGTTACAAATTTCTTGTGCTGAAGTTCTCAAACATGCAAGATGTTCAAAGATATATTAAATGAATGACAAAGTAACATCGAATGTAAGAGTGTAATAGCATCAATGACTAGTTCTGTCTCAAAAGACTCCATGACTTCACTATTATGGACTCCAAAGTTTTTGGCCGTTATTTGTTAAATTTTTGCATAAAATATGAATCAGTCTAATGAACAAGGGATACACAAAAGTCCAGAAATGATTAAATGCCCAAAATGAAGGAGAATCAACAAACCTGGTGTCAACATATGGTTTCAGATCAACTGCATCTCTAAAATTGACATGGCAACTCAGCTTACTCAAGCGCCCCCGAGCATCTTGACGGAACCTCTTTAGATGAATTGACAAAATAGGAGGGACCTTATCAATTAGGATCCGTTTAGTTGCATCTCTTTCAACTCTAACTCTTTTAAAGTCTGTCTCCTCATTCTCACTTTCTTCAGATTCAGATATAGCAGAAATCAGCGGAGCTTCCAGCAGTTGAACTTTATTGGTCTGATAGTCTCTATTCACTTGACTGCTAGTTGCACTGTGATTTTCCCGTGTGCCATTTTCCAATAGTGAAGACACTGAATCTCGATCACCTCGAGGGCTGGTTCCCTTTGGGGTCAATAATCTGTCCTCAAAAGTTTCTAACGCATCTTTGTCTGTAATTCCATTATGAGTTCTCAGTTCAGGCAGAGGAGATGTTCCTGAAGAAGACACACCATTTGAATTTTTGTCCTGATGTCCATTCACCATGCTATGTGATCTAGGCTTCGTCAATTTATTCTTAGATCTCATTCTCTTTTCTTTTAGAACTTTTGTGCAATTTTCACATTGCCAAGCATGTTCACTTTTGGAAAGAAGCTCGGGCTTCGTAAAATAAGCCAAACAACTCTTCACTGATACAGGAGCATCTGTATTATCAAGCTCTTCCGGATCAGACACGCTGATGTTTGAAACAGTAAAACTAGTTTCTCTCAGTCCATTGGACTGAGAAACAGCAGCATTGCACAAAGACTGTGCATCAGACTCAGGTTCATTAAATAAGTCTCCAACACCATCCAAGTCCAATGAATCTTCTTCCCAACCAACAGCAGCTGAGGATACCTCACAACCTTCTTTTAACATGTCACCAGCAGTTGAGGTTACTTCTTTGTATGGAAGTAACAGAATCTCTGACTCTTGTAGTTGTAATGGGGCTTCATCTTCCGATAGCCTCGTACATGAATCTGTTCCAAGATTTGAATCCACAGAGCTGATCTTTCCAGATTCTTTAATCAGTAATTTTTTACTGAATTCAGAAGCTATATTGCGGTCTGGTGATTTGGATTGTCCTTGGTCATCCAAACACATTAAATCATTAGGAGAACGAGTGCTGTCTGTACATGTCAACTTCATCTCTGTATCAGCATCCAGATTATTTTGCAAAGGGTCAACAGGTTGAACAGATCCAGTTTCAGAACCCTGATTAGTCAGGATGTGATCAACTTCTGAAGCTGCGTCATCACCATTTGGCAGTGTATCCTGTTCGAGAAAATCTAACCATGTCGAGTCATCCACCGTAGCCAACTGCCTAGTCACACCCTCGCAAGTTTCCTCATTACGGGGCTTCTGAGTGAAACATGAGTCCTGTGAAGTTAAACCCGTATTATCAGCCATAACACCAGCATCAATGGATTCTAGCGATGTATCAGAAGGAAGTATCATTCCTTCAGTGACAGGTACTCTAGGATGCACATGGCTGAGAGATTTCTCTCCATTTCCTTGAGAATTGAGAGAAGCTGCATCTCTGCTAACTTTAGGAAGAACTTTTCCACTTCTCTTTGGAGGTTTTGATATTTTGGCATGGGAGACTGATTGAGCTTCTTTAGAAGGAGGTTTTTTAGTCGGAACAGGCAATGAGAGATCCAAGAATGGCTCATAGACTACTGAAGTGTGCCCACATTCAAGACAGCTAACAGTGCTAGAGAGTCTACCACCAAAGATTTCATCGACAAATGTTGGACATGAACTCAGGGATTTACCGCCATCCTGAGAAGATTTGATTTGCTTTCTACAGGTCAATTCCTCAGTACACAGACGATCAAGTAAACAACGAAGCAATTCGTGACTGTCCTGCTGTTGGTATCCTCGAAACTGTGGAGCTTTGGTACATAATGAACCAAACAAAGATTTTGGATTAACAGATTCTTTCAACGAAGCCTCATTGCTTGTATCAGTAAAGAGCTTCTTCAGATCAGCGGTAAGAGGACCAGCAAAACCATCAAACTTAAGAAAGTAATCCCGTAGTCTATTCATTGCCAGTAGGTTCTGCATTATTGAATTGAAAAAACATGTGTTCCCTAAATTAACCAATCCCCTAATGGCACAACCACCTTTTCCATCAGCACTTATAGAAGCAGAAGCTTCTGATTTAATTTCGCTAGTGACACTCCCACTCCTGAACCAAACAGCTTCCACATCAGTAGTAGGCCCTTCAGACGGACGCCTTTTAATCATCTTTGCAATGTCCTCAAGTACATCTTTTTGTTCACTGCCATCCTCTACTTTTTTAGCATGAAGTAGTGTGTTGCACAGAAAACACCAGCGCAGTTGAGGATTTTCAAACTGTACAGCGAGAGGGTGATGGTATTGTCTCGCATGCCGAACTGCATGGCTCTGAGGTGTAGTAGGCAACCCAACACCTCCGCACGAGAAATGACCGCATACTAAACAGACCCAAATGGCTTTAGACTTCTGCTTGGGATCTGCACTTCCCTTCTTTTTTCCTTGTTTACCTTTCGTCCTACTAGCGTGTCTATCAGCTACTCCTTCCTTGCAATCTTCGCACCTAACAGGTTTCGAAGACTTAAGTTTAGCAGAGACTTTGTCCACATCAATAACCTTATCAACATGTGGACATCCTTTTCTATCATTTACAACAGAAACTGCATCATCATGAGTTTCAATATTCGGACTGATCTTTTCATCAATACGATTTGCAGATGCAACAGGATTCCGTGTCTCCTTGACACCACTTCTAGCCTTTTTCTTAGCCTTTTTCCCCATTATTCCCTTAAAAAGACCACAAAAATCAAATGGATTTAATTAGCATACACTGACGGTGCAAATAATTTATATACTATTTGTTCAATTTAACTTGTTATATAGTAGGGTAGTTAGAACATTTTTCAGGCTACCAATCTGCAACAAACACAGACATTTACTTGTGATTAGCTTTTCAATGATCCAACAACAACATACCCCGTGTAGTTCCACAAAGAGGGGTCTAGGGAGGGTATAGGTACACATACCTTACCTTTACCTTAGAAGTTTAAAAGTTGTTTCCGATAGACCCTCGACTCAAGAAAAAAAGAATCCCAAAGCAGTCCAGAAAAATAAGTAATTGAAGTACAAGAAACAACAGATAGTAACAGAACAATACTAGAAACAAAATACAACTTACATAGCAGTCAAAGTACAAGAAACAACATATAGTATCAGAAACCGAAGGACCAAAAACTACAAGAACAATACTACGACTACTAGTATGAACAGACAGCAAGATAATGCACATCTACCGACTACTCGATTTTCAATGACCATATTGCATTAGTTAGAGTTAGACATCAGAAGTGTACACAAGAGTTAAGCTCAAACCAAATAGGCAAATACAGTTTTAAACATACTATATATAACTGGAAGCTCACAGAAGCACAAAGTTCTAATAAACACAATCAACAACAACAACAACAAATTTCTAGCAAAAAAATTGATTTTCATTCAAAATATACCAAAAAAACAAATCTTTGATACATGGAAACCTAAATAAATAGACTAAATATCAGTCATTTCAAATCTTTACATCCATGGATTATAGTGCAAAGGGTATTCATATACAAGTTAAAGAGAAGGGATTTTTCAGAGATTTACCAAAAACTATATGGAGAAAAAAGGTGAGAGATTTCTTCAGTTAATTTTCAAAGAATTTATCAACTGACTCATCATTGGGGTTGTGGTGTGGGGTTTGGGGGGTGGGGGTGAGCAAATTCAAAAAACCTCAATATGGCAAGCCCACAAAGAGCACTTTTTTTTTTTTTTTTTTGTCATTTTGGGCTATTCCACCACATGTCAATAGGTTGTTTGATATGCGGGATGAGATTGATTACATTTTTATGTGATTTTTTTAGACGGTAATCATATTATTTTAATATAAATAATTATGAGACTTACTAAAACTTATAATAATCATTAATCAAAAATAAATGATAGAGTTAATTTGAAATTCAATTTCAAGATTATTATTTTTATTTTAGAGCGAGTGAACAATTTATAAGGTACTCTTTCCGTTTCAAAAAGAATGACTTTCTTTCCTTTTTAGTCTGTTTAAAAAAGAATGACTTCTTTCATTTTTTGGTAACATTTTACTTTCAGCTTTTCATGTGGTATGTTAAAGGCCACAAGATTAAAGGGAAATTTTGTACATTTGACATAACTTTAATTTAGGATCACAAGATTCAAAAATCTTCTTTATTTTCTTAAACTCCGTATCAAGTCAAATTAGATCATTCTTTGTAAAATGGAGGGAGTATTTATTATTGTCGGCTTCCACCGATTTAAATTTATGAACACCTCATTATACTAAAATTTGAATAAATAAAAGAATGTACTTGTGTTGTGTGTTATATAAAACTAATAAATACATTTGTGATTAAATTGTGTACACTTTTCATTTAAAGTTTTTTTTATTGTTAATGCTAAATTCATTTATTGAACAAAATAAATAATTATGGTTATTTAGTATATAGTTCTAGAGTTCTCGACTGAATAATTTTATAAATAAGGTTTGAATAACTAAAAAAAATTAAATTAAAATTAATACATACCTCTTGACGCTAAAAAAAAATCTAAAGAATGCTTAAGAAAAATTATTCCTCAGTCTTCTATTGTATAATCTGAATAATCACAAATTAGTGTATAAGTATTTAGTCCTATGAAAAGTCGTTCTCCTCCAAATATATAGAATTCGTTTCTTGTTTTCCTAGACGATTTAGGTTTACTAATATTTGTTTGCTACTATAAGAAGAGGTATCACTAAAATAATAAAAATAATAATAATTTTCCTAATAATAATAATAAGTTAAGCAAATTTTCTTTTCTTTCCTTGTGGGTAATTTTATAGCTTCTCGAGGACATGATCTTGATCCTAGATAGGTTTAGAGAATATGGAGGTCGAGAATTAGGGTAAAGGATTAGTAGATAGTCGAACATTATATAATTTTCATTATTAATATTATGTGGTATTTGTTATTTCTATTGTTCTCTTCTCTTATGTTTTTAACTTAACTTCTTTTCATATTTTATTTTGATATGTGTTACTTGAGTCAAGATCGAGAGTCTACCAAAAATAATCTTCAAAAGGTAGTGTACAGTTTACTCTCTTCACCTAAAATTACACTTATAGAATTACATTGAATATGTTGTTGTTGTTTATATTTTCTAGTGGCTAATAACCTTAACCAATGAGAAGTTCGAAAAGACTATAAAATTGAAACAATGAACATATATTCCACAAAAATAGGAATATACTTCTAATATTTATTATTACAAGTAAAAAAGAAGAAAAAATAACATTTAAAATCCAACATGGGCTAATTAAGAGTTCAAAATCTCTACCAATAATTTTTGTTACATTCTTGAGCGTGTATCTCTCATTCATCTAGAAATACAAAAAACTAATTAATTAAGTGCCATAAATAATCTAATTAATTAATTATCTAAAGTACTTTGAGGGGTTGCTTCATAATCCAACCCTCATTATCAATAAATGATAGGCTTGTTAATTGTTGCAACTCTTGTTGGCTCAACTTGGTTGCCCATGGCACTCTTTGTGTAGTGTTTGATCCAATTCCATTGCAATTTTCCTCAGAAAATGTCAATTGATTCCTATATCATAAATAAGTAATTAAAAAAATGGTTATAATCATGATGATGATGAGAATGAATTTATATTTTAAAGAAATTATCAATAAGAAAGCTAAAAGAAAAAAAAGCAGTTGAATGCACTAAATTTTTGCTATGCCAGATTTGACAAGGGGCAAATCACATTAGACTTATTTTGCGATCAAACTGAAAAATATTTTCTAAAAAGAGTTTTTCTCCGTACCAAATACATCCTAAGTTCTATATATATAATGCAAAAAAAAAGATTTATGTAATTTTGTCATTTCAAAACTAATTATATGCAAATTTCTAAAAATTAATAACATGATAAAATATCAACTAACCCTACCACCAAATTAAAGGATGTAATAGAATGATAAAGACTCTTTTACATTTATCTAGAGGTCTCGCAATTTATCCCAAAATATGAGTCATCTCTAATAGGAAGCATTAAACAGTAGAAAACGTGTCTATTAGATATTTTCTTATCTTATTTTTTGAAAAATAGCCAGATTCTTATAATTTTAAATTCTACGAGTGAAATTCAATCAATTTTGAAATTTCATGAAAATCAATTTAAATGGCAAATAATTAGCTATTTATGAATTTTTTACCATGCTAAAACCCTCTATATCATGCTTCTAATATACAAATAAGAATAGTGAATTCTGAATATGGAATCGAATCAATTCCAAGCATCGGATGATCACTAAACGAAAAATACAATTTACGAGTAACGTAAATAAATATTTTCTATCAATGTATATAACTTAAATATATATGAAGGGTTCGGAACTTACTCTCGTCCACTTGAATTCCAAGCATACCAACCAGGCGAAACGACGACGTTTGACATTGAACAATCGTAGAAAAGAACCCTAGCATAGTCCCTCCATGGCCTCCCTAAATAAGTAAATCCAGTTCCAAAAACTTCACAATTTTTGAAAACAAATCCACTTTGATCATGTTGACTTGTTCTTCCTTGTGCTGTAATAAAACCTGGTCCATTTAATCTTCCTGCATTTACTACTAAGGCACATCTCTGCATATATCAAACAAATAAAAAACTAGGTCGACAAAAGAGGTTGTTCGGATGGTAAATAACCTTCACATCTAACTGTGATGTTATAGGTTAGAGTCATCAAGAAAACAAAAGGGATGAGAACTCTTAGGGAAGGGTAAAAGAAAAACTAGTGATAATTATAAGTCTGAATCATTAATCATCTAGTTAATAAAGTATATATATTGTGTATACATTACACTATACCTATGATATACATTCATATACACAATAGCTTGTACATCTATAAATTTAAAATTCAAAACCCATGTACATACATTAAACACAATAGTGTAAAAACAACTTTTCGGAGTTATTCGAATTCAAGTGAAATTCCAAAAAATTATAAAAATTCTATATCTAAACAATTTTTCAAGAAAAAAAAGTGAAAACTATCCATGGTCAAATAGGCATGGAGACAAACTTTAAGGCAAGTTAAATTACATAACCATACTACAAACATGTCTAGTATTAGGGAATTTTTCGCAAATAGCTTACGGGCTGTAGCTACAGTTTAAGTTGTTTTGTTTGTATAATTCGCGGGTGAGTTTATATAATTTGCGGGTACGTTTGTATAATTGAGCTATTTTTGTATAAACTCGAAATAACAAATTTATACAAACACAAACTTCTGAACTTTAAACCAATATACAAATAACTATATTATACAAAAGTTATAAATATTATATTATACGAATTTTGAATGATACAAACGTGTGAATTATACAAACTCGAAATCTCAGCCTACCTAATTATCACTGAATGTTGGTTGTGAGTGGTAATTAACTAAAACTACAACTATGATGACTAATTAACTAGCATATGTTTGCTTAACCGTCTAATTTTCCCTAAATAATAACCAATAAAACAAAATATAATGCAAACAATTTTACCTCATAAATAGATTGGCCATTACCAAAAATGAAATCAATAGCTCCAACAATAGTGCAAAGTTTGAAATAATGTCTTCCTTGTTCATCCCACAATGTATCTTGCACTCCAATAAATCCACATCTATAAAATGTTGATTTATCTCCAGAAATCATTGCTGCCACTGCTTGAATCACAACATTGCTGCCTTTTGGAGGAATGTTATAAGAATTCTGAATAAAAATAACAAACATAAAGTTAATCAAAAAATAAAAAGTGGTTAATGAAGTGAATCGAGAATCATGTTACCTCAGGTTCAAATCTCAAATGAGATAAAAACACTAGGTGATTTTTTTTTTATCTATCTAGGAATTAATCGAGATGCATACAAGTTGATAAATTTTATAAAAAGAAAGTGGTTAATGAAGTGAATCGAGAACTATGATGTCTCATGTTCAAATCTCATATGAGATAAAAACACTAGGCAATTTTTTCTATCTATCTAGTCCTTGTTGTTTGTGGGAGGTTGCAAGTATCCTAGGGAATTAATCGAGATCTGTGCAAGTTGACCCAAATACCACTATTATTGAGGTGAGAGGTATCCCATGGAATTATCAAAGTGTGTGTGCAAGCTAACCTGAACACCACGCTTATAAAAAAAATAAAAAATTATAACCACTATTGAAAAAAACAGTAGTTTCATTGAAAACATTTCTGACAAGTCAATTTCTAATGAATTCAATCATAAATTCACTTTTTTTTTAGGGGGGGTGGGGGGTCTTACTATAAAAGTTATGCTTTTGACAAGTGTATAATCAGCTTCAGAGATGAAAGTAGCATCAGTATTAATAGACTCATGGCCATCCCATGTAACATTTGTTTTTCTTTTTCCTTCTCCTTTGAGATAGATATATGGCTTTTCTATAGGAATTTTCACTTGTTCCCTGCATAAAATTTCAACTCCAATTAGTCAAAGGTGGTATGATACCATAACAATAATATAGTTGGTTCGTCAAAGTCAAATAAGTTGAGATCGATTATAAAAATCTTACATAATTTCAATTAGTCGAAGGTGGTATAATACGTAGGATAACAATAATGGTTGTTAATCAAACTAGATAAGTTAAGATCGATTATATAAAGCTCACATGTA